CAAGATGGAGGTGGGGAGGAGGGGTCTGCATAGACTGCTAAAGAGAAAAAACATAGAACAAAAAAAAGAAAAGAAAAGAAAAACTGGTCATAGCATCTGCCTCCAGGGAGAGGACTAGGAACTGGCAGCATGAAGCAAGACAGACACCTCACAGCTGAGCTCCTACTTACTTAAAATTATCCCTGTAAATTTTGTTTAAACTTAAGAGCTAAAAATTTTACAACACTATTTAAAAGAAATGACTATGAACAAGAAAGACTACTGAACAAACACTGCATGAGCTCAGTGTGCAGTAAGGCAGAACTGTAGGATAGCTTTGTTTTCTTTCTTTTTTTACTAGTTCTTGGAGAATTTTGTATAATGTGTTTTGATCATAGCCCCCCAACTCCTCCCAGACCCACCCTTCCCTACCTATCCAACTCTGTGCCCTCTTCGTTTTTTTTTTTTGCTTTAAACCCATCAAGTCAAATTTGTTCTGCCCATATATTCTTGAATGTGTGGCTTTCTACTGGAGCATAGAAAACGACTGCACTTAAAGAAAACTGACTCTCACCCTCCCAGCAGCTGTCAGTTGCCAATAGCTTCTTAGCCACGGGTGGCCCCTCATGCCCACTTGCCCTTTCCATGCTGGGATTTGCTCTAGCTTGGGCTTGCACAGGTCTCGAGCCCTGCCCTCATAGTCATCCACCACCTATGGGTCTTTCCATCCCCCCTTCTTCTTTAATACCCTTGAGCCTTAGGAGGATGTGATACAGATGTCCCCTCTAGTGCTGGGTACTCCACCATCTCTTATTTTCTGCACCTTGACCAGTTGTGAGTCTCCGTGTTAACTGCCATCTATCGTAACAAGCTTCCCTGAAGAGGGCCGAGGGATGTTCTACTCTGCAGGTATAACAATAAGTATTAGGAGTTGGCTTAATACTGTCTATAATAATTTTAGTAGGTTCTTACCTGGGGCATATGGCCTGTCAAGCCACAGGTTCTTGGCCCCATAACAGTCCCAGGTATTGGTTTCATCTTGTGAAGTACGCCTAAATCCAATCAGAAAATGATTGGTTACTACCATGGCATTCATGCCACTAGTACACCAGTGGCCACGTCTTGCCAGGCCAACCACTATGATTCCTAGGGTTCTTAGTTGGGTAAGGCTGAAGATTACTGTTCTCCCATGGTGGCTTGCATGGCTGGAAGGGTATACAGCACTATGGAAGCTAACCAGTAGGAATGAAGCTTCTGGGTGAGTATCAGATTTGGTTCTCAATGTTCTATGATTCAAGTATATGGCATCTTCAGCAACAGGGTCTTTTTTTGAGGGGGGGTTCAAGACAGGGTTTCTCTGTGACTTTGGAGGCTGTCCTGAAACTAGTTCTTGTAGAGCAGGCTGGTCTCGAACTTTTGGAGATTCGCCTGCCTCTGCCTCCGAGTGTTGGGATTAAAGACATGCGCCACCACCGTCCGGCTTAGCATCAAGTTCTGAAGAGTAACCAATAGTATTGGCAATAGCCTATGGCCAACAACTCCAGAAGAGGCTAACTAATGGCTGAGACTGAACTTTGCTAGTCTGCAGTGCCCACTAGCAGTGGGGCATTGGCACTCTGTTATAGGGTAACCCTATTTTAACTTTTTATACAAAAGTGTCTACAGTAGGTTTCCATAAGACTTTACCCCTCCCTGTATCCCCTCATCCTTCCTCCCATCCTCACCCCAATTTAACTCTTCCTGTTTCATAGCTTTTTGTCTTTCACATTGAAGCTCATAAATTCCACTATAACACTGCAGTTTTATTTTGCTTGAGACCAGATTTCACTATGTAGTCCTGAGGGGGCTAGAACTCACTATGTAAACCAGACTGGCCTTGAAAGCACAGAGACTTGTCTGCCTCTGCCTCATGAACGCTGCGATTAAAGATGTGCACCGCTACACCTGTCTGTGGCACTCTTCTTTAACAGACAAAACACGCTGAAGGCACAACAGACCTACAAGCAGTGGCAACAGTCAGCCAGACCACCTTCCTAGAGAACATCCTTCCTCTGCTCCTTCAGTGAAGATTTCCTAACTCCCTACCAGCTGCCAGACAGGAGCTAAATGCTCTGTTTTATTTTCTGGAACAGGCTGCTGTGAGCTGCTTGATGTGGGTGCTAGGAACTGAACTCAGGTCCTCTGGAAGATTACCAAGTGTCCTAAATACTGAGGCCACCTCTTCAGTCCCTAGACAGATATTTTTGAAAGAACTAAACCATAGGTCACAGGCTTCTGCTTTCCTGCTTTTCAGAAGCCATAGTTAACATTCCCAAGAATCCCACAGTCCAGCATTCTCCCACTCAGCTAGGAGACGTAGATCTGGAAAGGGAAGGAGACTCGTTCAAGATTACATAAGAAGCAGAGGCCTCAGAATCCCTGGTCCTCAACTCCTGCATGCCACATGCTGTTCTGAGCAATCGGTGTTGGGAGCCAGGCAGGCAGGGGACAGGGCAGGGAGAGAAAGGTCCCAAGACTGCTGTGCCAAGTAATTGAAGCACCTTCAATAGACTATTGGTTCTTCACAACAAATTTACAAGATATTCAGGCTTGTTCTTCATCTGTTAAAGAAAGCAAATCAAAGCTCTGAGAAGGTAAAAGGCTGTTGCTAGCTCACACAGCAGAAAGAATAGTGGGAGGCTTCAAGCCAATCTGCCTGCTTACCAAGTCAGAGCTGCTAAGGAGTAGGCTGAGGACAGACCACAATGGGTTTCAGAGGTAACCGTTTTCAGATTTCTTTTTTTTTCTTTCTTTCTTTTTTTTTTTTTTTTTTTTTTGGTTTTTTTGAGACAGGGTTTCTCTGTGTAGTTTTGGAGGCTGTCCTGGAACTAGCTCTGTAGACCAGGCTGGCCTAGAACTCACAGAGATCTGCCTGCCTCTGCCTCCCGAGTGCTGGGATTAAAGGTGTGCACAACCAATGCCCGGCGAGGTAACAGTTTTCTATTATGCAGTTTTTTCTCAGCTCTAAATGCTATCACCCCAATAACAAAATGAAAAGCCAATCATGGGGCCTGTGAAGTGGGGCAGAGGTTAAGGTGCCTCGACACCCAAGTGTGATACCTGGAACCCACCTGGCAGAAGCAGAGGACAGACCCCCACAAGTTATCCCCTAACCGCCACACGCACGGTTACATACACAAACACAAAACAAAAGGAGTAAAGATATGTTCAAGGAGAAAAAAGAATCATCTCATTTTCTGGTATGTGCTCTTAACGTCAGTCACCAGGCTTAGGATTTCATTTCAACACACAGGACATGAGCAGTCCTAAGTGACACTTTCACAGCTTCTGCCAAGACAGGGTGGAACAACTCAGACATACTGCTTCTAGTCCTAGTACCTGCCAACAAGAGTTCCCCCAACAAGAGCCTATCCCTGATGATGACAATGGATCACCATACCAGCTGTAGGCCAGCACCGTGGTGTTTGGTTTCCAAAAGTCCCAACCTTCTAAAATGAGGACAAATGTAAGCCACCAACAAGTCCACACAGGGAGAAAGCATTGCAAGTCAGACTGGCCAACTGCTTTGAGGGACACCGAAAGGTCACATGCAGATAAAGGATTCTTCTGGGGCACAGAGGCCCTGTCATCTCTCTCTCCTCTCTGTCTCTGTAAACACCTAATGAAGGTCTGAAGTGCTCCTCATCCTGAAGTCTTCCTTCTGGAATATGGCAGAATCAAGTTGCATGGGAGTGGGTAATCCCATAGGGCTCCATTATAAACCTAACCCATTAGCTTAGAGTCCTCACGGGGGCGGGGTCTAAAGGTCTGCCAACATTTTCTATTGACCATGGCTCTCCAGGCTGCAGTAGCCTGTTCCAAGGCCTCACAGGAAATACCATGATCTAAAACGCCACTAGTTTGGGGGGGCCGGGAGGGGGTCTCCTCACCACAAATCTTATTCCAAACTCTCAAGAAAGAGGCCTCTTGCCACCTCTTGACCAGCAATCCCCCTCTGGCTCCTGGAAAGTCACAATTAGGCACCGGGATGCTCATGTCGCAAACAACAAAACACTCAAAAACAGCAAAATAACCCCCAGGTGTCACACAACCAAAAAGCTGAATTCTTCCCCAGGTCCCTCCTCTTCACCCTCACCACGCTACGGTTTCGATCTTTTTGAGACCAGCACTGAGAAAATATGTATGAGCATCTGCTGCCAGGAGTCAACAATCCAGAACCCTTTCGAGCATCGCACCAACGACTACTCTTGAGGAGCACATTTTCCAACAGCCGATCAGCCAATGAAAGTTAACCACCCCGCAATCCACCCATGCCCCTTCAACAGCAACAGGGGAGTTAAAAAAACAGTGCGCCCCACTTTGGGGTTGGAGTGGCACAGGGAAGCGGCCGGCCTATTAACCAGGGCAGCTGCAATCCTAGTGCGACTCAGCAAAGACACAGGCAGGCCTGACCCCGCCCCTCCATGAGGCCACCGCGAACGCCTCCAGAGCCCTCAGAGCAGCCAAAGCCCGGGACGCCAGAATAGGCAGCTTTCCCTTCTTCCCAGTGGGGCCCACTCACCCTCCCGCGGCTCCTCACCTGCAGCCCCGCTTCCGGACCAGCAGAGGATCCTCAGCCCCGCCCACTGCACCTGTGCTTTTCCCCAGGCTCCCCTCACAGCCCCGTCCCACTGCTGCTCCAGGCCGCCACACCTGAGCCCTTTCCCCGCCGCTACCCCGCACACGGGTTCTAGCTCCCTCCCCTGGGCCCTGAGGCCGCCCGAGCCCCACGCACAGAGCCAAGGCCCCCGATCCCGGCCCCCTCCGGCCGCGGGCCCCGCCTCCCGCACCTGCGCCCTTTTCCCCATCGCCACCCCCCACACGCTGTCATTCGCGCCCCTGGGACCCGAGCCGGCCATGGTCCCGCCCCTCGAGCCGAGGCCCCGCCCCGGTCCCTCAGGCCTGGGGTCCCGCCCCCCGCACCTGCAGCTGCCCGAGCCCTGGGCCCCGCCCCACCCCGCCCCGCCAGCCGCTCCTCTCACCGCCTCTCTCTCCGCCGCAGTCCCGGCTGGTCACCTTGACGAGGGCCACAGTGGCTGCCGCCGCTTCCTCATGGTCCTGCGAGAGGCCCAGCAGCAGCGGCGCCTTCGTTCAGAGGCCGGGGCCGCGCCAAGCCGGGTTGAGGCTAGGCCGGGCGCAAGCTTGAAACGCGGGGCCGACGCGGGAGCCCAGCCGGTGCCCAGCCGCAGTAGGAACCGTCCGCTCCCGGGCCTGAACGGCGGGTGTCTCAGCCAATCAGAGTGCAGCACCATGCCGGGCTCCTCCAACCAGCTTGTCTCAGAGGCGGAGACACGCAAATGAACCGACTGCTAAAGCCAGTGCGCAGCCGCTGCAGCTGCGGTCCCCCACCGGCCTCGGCCTGGGCTTCAGCCTGCAAAGCTCAGGTTTGTAGGGATGCTCAGCTGCCCTATTCGGGCTAAGCCCGCCACGCCCACCCCCTGCCTAGAAATAGTGGTGTGCTTATTCTGCACATATCCTTCCAGGCCTCACACATTGTCCCACTTAAATTCCTACCTAAGAGTTTCTCGTTTTCAACAAAAAATGGCTTTGTGAGCAAGACATCATCACCTTAGTGCCCATTCTTTACAACTCATAGATAATCACAGCCCAGTCGTACACTTAGAGGTTCTTGGGATTGATCCACCTATTTCACAGCTGGTAAAAGTTAGACCTGAGGAGGATCTTGCCCAAGACCAGGCCAAATTCAAAGCTGGGGGGTGGGCCTGGAAACTGTCTCCCTACACTTTTTACGATGGGCCAGAAATATGCAGTTAACACAGGTTGAGTCATTGGTTTAAAGGCACAGATGGTAAGTTACAAAGACTGTGGAAGCCAGAGGGAGATTGTGAAGGCCTGAAGGTCGGGAGCCACAGCAAAACTCTGCCTACGGAGGTTAGATGCTTCTTGAACAGTAGACAAGATCATCGTTTTTGAATACTTTGGATTTTGTGGTGCTGTGGCATATGGAAAGATTTAGATACTGTACTATCCAAGGGGGGAGCAAAACAAGAGTCAGCAGAAATTAAACCACTTCTAAGTGTGGGGTGGTGGAATAGGGGGTGTGTAAAGCAAGCGTCTACTATGTTGCATTAAGAACACAGTAACCATCAAAGAAGAGTCTGAACTGTCTCCCTTAAATAAAACAAGAGATGCATGGTGTGCTGGTTCCTTTGGGAGACTGAGGGCAGCATTCATCTCGACCTCCTTGACTGTGGATGCAATGTGACGAGCTGCCCCTTGCCCATGCCACCACGCCTTCCCCCCATGACGGACTGAACCTTTAAACTGTGGACCAAAATAAGCCCTTCCTTTCCTGAACTGTTCTATCAGGTGTTTTGTCGCAGCAAACTCAGTAGCCAATACAGCATCCTTCATTTTGATAATGGAACTGGAGGTGTCTCTGGGCTGTGGGGTGCTACAGGAGCCCCTCCACAAAGCATCTCCCTCAGTGCTGCCCCCAGTGCCAACTCCTGCTTTCTTTGATAGTAACTAGAGTTAAATTTCACACTAACAGGCTGATGATATTACACTTAGCCAAAGAGGTGGAGGAGGTATATGCCAAGAATAATGGAAGTAGCCAGTCTGTGCTGGCAGGTGCCAGAGGGTTACCCCGAGAACTAGATTTTCAGGATGCTTCTTCAAAAATGCACGTAGGACTGGGTGAGTGGATTGGAGGATATTTCTCAGGGCAAGGAATTTTACACTCTAATAAGGATCCCAGGAACTCTGGTGGTTCTCAGAGGAATGGGGAACATGACAGTCAACTCTCAGTGAAGATGCGACTTCTACCATCTTTCCTATGCCCTGGCAGAGGGTAGACATAGGCATGCTGCAATGAAATTACAGGCAGTGCTACCGTAGATTCCAACTCTGCATCTGTCAACTAGCCTACTCAAGTTATCTCTTAACCCAAACATGGACACTTGGAGACATGTGCAGAATAACGAAGTGTAAATTCCCAGCTGAGTTCAAAATGATGGTATGCAAGGCTGGAGAGACAGCTTGGCGAGTAAGAGCACTGGGCTCCCAGCCCCTACAAAGTGGCTCATGACCATGACCATCTGTAACTCCAGTTCCAGGGATTTGACCCTCTCTTCTGGACTCCTGAACACCAAGCACACACATGATGCACATGTATACATGCAGACAAGACATACATACCATTTAAAACCTTTTCAATGGTGGTCTGCCTTCATGTCTCAGTTCTCAGCACTAAGTGCCTTTCTTCATTTGTTGCTATCTTTTGACTCTTTGTGCTTTTCTGGTGACTTCATTGTGTCAAGTGGTCCCTAAGCATAATGCTTAAATGCCATTTAGAGGGGTTTTTTGGGTTTTTTTTTTGAGACAGGGTTTCTCTGTATTGTTTTGGAGGTTGTCCTGGGACTCGCTTTGTAGACCAGGCTGGCCTCGAACTCACAGAGATCTGCCTGCCTCTGCCTCCCGAGTGCTGGGATTAAAGGTGTGTGCCACCAACACCCGGCTGCCATTTAGAGTTTCTAAGCTTTGCAGTCTGTTAGTTACCTTACTGAGAAAGTAACTGTGTTATAGAAAACATACATAGTTCTGTTGGTTGAAATAGATAGATTAATAAATATGATTGATTAGATGACTCATATATTGTGAATGATAGATAGTAGATGTGATTGATAGATGATTAATAGATGGAAATGATAGGTAGATAAATAATAGATGATAGAATGTATGGTAGATACGATTGATAGATGATAGATACAATAGACAGATAGCTAGGCATTGAAATATCAATGAAAGGGTCTTTCCCCCTCCAAAAAAAGAACACAAAAAATAAAATTATCCAAGACGCTGTTTGGCTGACAAGAGTGTATGACCAAAGATTTAAAAGAAATCCAATCATATTCTCTCTCTTGGAACAAGAGTTCAGTACTATTTTTTTTAGCATTCACAACAATAGGACATAACTACTATAAATAATGAGAAAGAACTACATTTCTCATAGGCAGATTATTAACTAGTAACCTTTCCAATAAGGAATGCTGGGAAATCTAGTTCTCAGACTAACCTTAGTTTAGTTTAGTTTAGTTTTGTTTTCTGAGATGGTTTCTCTGTGTAGCCCTGGTTGTCTTGGAATTTGCTCTGTAGACCAGGCCAGCCTTGAACTCACAGAGATCCACCTGCCTCTCTTTGCCTCCTGCATCACGACTGCCCAGCTCTCCGACTGACTTTTAAATCCTGTGTTACAGAGGAGGGTAAAAAGAAGGAACATGTTCCTGATCTGTCAGATAATTCACCAAGATAGGTGGGGCCATTTGATGCTTTAGAAAAAAACTTACTGTCCTAAAGTCCAGTCCTGTAAATGTGCTGTGCATACCCATGTGTGTAGAGGCCAGAGGTCAACATCAAACGTCTTCCTCAATCACTCTCTGCCTTTCCCTTACCTTCTGGGGCAGGCTCTCTCATCCAACCAGGAACTCACCAATTTAGCTAGACTGATTGACCAACAACCCCAGAGTGACAGGGCAAGAGAGTGCAGAGGTTCCTCCATCTCATATTCTTGCTGAAGCCATTTTTGGTTTAACAAGAATTTGATCTCCTTGATGGGAAACCCTGTGGAAAATTACCCAGCTCTATTGTAGGAACCCATGGTCAAGATACTCAGCTAACTTAGCTTCTGTTAAACTGCTTACTTACACAAAACTTGCCCCTATTGCTGCTGAGCAGAATAACAGGATGTGGGGTTTGCCTTTAAAAGCCCCTTGCTCTAAATATTTGGTGCTAAGCTTGGGTCTCAAATACCTGAGTGTAGTCTCAGGCATCTGGAATAAAGACTTTCAATTGGCTGCAAACTGTCCAAGTGGTCTTCTCTGGAGGGCTCCCTGTAACATACAGGACCCAGCTATCTCTGCTTTCACAATGTTGGGATTACAAGTGTACCATCATGCCTGGCATTTTATGTCAGGGGATAGGCCAAGCACTCATAACAAATAAGATGTCTCTGTGTCATATTTTGGGAGCTTGTTGGTGGCCCAAAAGAAAAAACCTGGCACACCTTATTGCCAGAAGAAATATGTAATAACTGAAGAGGCAACTCTGGATTTTAGGACTGACAACCCAAAGAGTCTAAACCATGAGAACCTAGAAGCTCAGAACAGAAGCCCCAGACCTTTGAGAAGAACACACTGTCCAGCTAGTGTTGGCACTAGTGTGAGGGGAGGGGCTGAATCTGGCCCTGGAAGTAGAAGAAAAGGGAGAACCAGAAACAATTGGTGTTGTCTGTGTATCAGGGATGCTGGGAGAAGCAGCAGAGTGCCCTGTTGTAGCCAGTGGCAGAGGATTTGTCTTCGAATGCTCAAGGCCCTGAATCCAGTCCTCAAATATGTCACTGTTTCTAGAGTTTTTTTTTCTTTCAGATTAACATTGTTTTTTTTTTTCAGATTAACATTGTCTTTTGTTTGGGTTTTGGTTTTTGGAGACAGGGTTTCTCTGTGTAGCCCTGACTGTCTGGGAACTCACTCTGTAGACTAGGCTGGCCTCAAACTCAGAGATCTGCCTGCCTCTGCCTCCCAAGTGCTGGGATTAAAGCCACCACACCTGGCTTTTAACATTGTATTGTAACCCTTTAGCTAGTCACATTAAGAATAACAGATGGGCCTGGAGAGATGGCTCAGCGGTTAAGAGCACTGACTGCTCCTCCAGAGGGCCAAGGTTCAATTCCCAGCACCCACGTGACAGCTCACAACCGTCTGTAACTCCACTTCCAGGGGATCTGACACTCTCACACCAGTGCACATAAAGTAAAACAAATCCTCAAAAAGGAAAACCAGTATCAGGAAAGACCAGCAAGATAGCTAGCTCACAGGGTAAAGGCATTTGCCACCACACCTGCTGATCTGAGTTCAGTCCTACAAAGAGAACTGACTACTGAAAGCTGTTCTCTGTTCCCGAAATTCCTCACCTGGGGAAGATGACAACAACATAAACCCTTTCTTCCTAAGGTCTCAATGACAAATCTTGAGGTGTGACACCACCAAAGTTCACTCTGGGAAACCAATGAGTTTACTACGCTAGCTTACAGAGCAATGAGTCTTGGGCAGAAGCAAGGGTGACCTCAAAAGCAGCCCTGCTGAAAGGCCTGTACCCAACATGAGTGATGACCTCCCTCTTGGCTGTTTAGATAGACAGCCCTCTCTGTAGGGAGTGGAGGAAGCCCAGGGTAAGTGAGGTAAGT